ATTATCGAAGAGATTGGAAAAGGTGGATTTGCTACCGTGTACTACGCTAAATGGTCAAGAGTAACTATTTATGATTCAAATTTGATTTCTGTTGCGTTAAAAATAATCTGTAATTCAAGCATTCAGATTTGGGAATTTATAAATAAGGTGTTTGTTCAATTTTTATATTCCACCAAGAGAAAACCATACTTTAGAATTTTAAATTTACTCCTTTTGACAGCGAATTTGCACAAAAGAACAACCAATTTTGTACAGATGAATATTCAATTTCGTACAGGAAAATAATGATACCTTGTAATCTAATTTGAATAATTTTGATACCATTTGAATCTTCTCAATGAGATGATTCAATTGGTATCAAAATTATTCAAATTAGATTACAAGGTATCATTATTTTCCTGTACGAAATTGAATATTCATCTGTACAAAATTGGTTGTTCTTTTGTGCAAATTCGCTGTCAAAAGGAGTATAACTTATTCGAGTTAGCCTATCGGTATTATATAAGAGGTGTATTTACATAGAAATGACATATGCTACATAGTTAATACCCGAGTACCCTGTATTTAACTGTGAAAAATTTTTATAGATGGTACTTTGATGTGAGTACTATGGTCCGTGTTGTACGGTAATGGTTTTAATTAAATGAAAAGATACCAGTCAAGTTTATTCTGTTAGGACTTATCCGACAATTTTATGGGTAATCTTGAATTTCCCAAAGATGCACAAAGCAATTCTGAAATTCGCTGATAAAAAAGTTTATACGTATAAAAAACCTGTTTTAAAAAATTGCATACTGTATATATTAAGTAGTAAAAACAAAACTTTAAATTATTTTATTGATCTATTATTGGCAACGCCAGTGTAACCAATGATATAACATATTGTCATATTGAAATTTTTTTTTTACTATTAAAAATCGTAAAGTCATATCAACCTTCGTTATGACCAAATGATTTATGGGAGATTACAATGCTTCATTAGTAAAAAATACATGATGTACAATAAGATTATAATGCTTTCTTGGTAAAAAATGCATGAAGATGTCAAATGAGATTATAAGACTTGGTAAAAAAAATACATGAGATATAAAATGCGATTATTGCAATTAGATTTCATATCCTAACCGATACACATCGGAACTTCACCACGAAGAAACAATATTAATCAAATTATCTTTATCCTTCAACTTTTGCCTTTCAGTAAAGATAGCTTTTGTGAAAGTACTAGATGTCCTAGCACAAGCTTCCGGACCCTTTAAGAAATATTTTGCATTTATGCAAACTAATTTATCAAGTATTCCGTGTATACCAGCACCATTAAATTCTGATTCGTATTTTGGGTCGTCCCTAATTTGTGAGAAAGCGTCCATTGAAATCCACGTATCGATTTTTATGTGATCGGAACTATTTGCAATACTACCATTTAGTCCAAGTATTTCAATAGCTTCTTTATGAAACTTAGAAATATTATGAAATGTTAATGATTGAGGATTGCCACCATTAAGTGGAAAATCAGTTGCCAAATATACAGATTTTATTCCATATCGTTTTTGAAGTTTTTTTTAATGTTTTAACTAGTTTCTTGGCACATTTTGACATTAATTCAGGCTGTCCACGCTCCATTCTCCAATGAACAGCTATATGAGACTTTAATTTTTTTATGATTTTTTTTGATTCTTCAAGAATATATGGTGAATATGGAATTACTTTGGTAACATTTGGAAATATTTCTGCAGGTGATGTATTCAATATCATTATTACTTCATATTCTCCTGTTATCGATGGAGTTTTTAAAGTGTTTGTGGCAAGTTTCAACATTGCTTCTCGATCAAATTCACCAATTCCCGTGTGAATTTGTTTATAATTCGTGATATTTAGATTAAATAAATCTGTGCAATAAGTTTTTCTTCGTTTGTTTCCAAGTTTAGCACTTTCCTTTATTCCCATAGCCTTTTTTTTTTGAGACTTAAAAGATTTATTAAAATTATCTTGAATTACCTGTGAATGTTGCGTAATTGGTCGAATTTTTCTTTCTTTTGTCCATTCCAAAAATTTATCTTGAGTTAAAAATCGAATGTCCGGATAATCTTTTTGAAATGCTTTCAAATCATAATAGAAGTCGAATGGATATCGACTACATGCTCTAATTTTTGAATTTCCAACGTTTGATATGACTAATGTACGATTTAAAGTTCGCGCTAATTGTGTGTAAAGGCGAGCGTGAATGTTGGCACGGGTCTCCTGTTCTGGGTGATAATATGGAAACAGGAATTTACATGTTTTTTCTTGGCAGTACTTTATGTTAATTTTCTCATCCTCTGTTAGTGGTGTTTCGGGAGACGAATTAATTGTATTATCTTTTATTGTATTCTCTTTAGAAGACGAAATAATTGTATTTTCTTTTATCGCATTCTCTTTAGAAGACGAAATAATTGTATTTTCTTTTATTGTCTTCTCTTTAGAAGACGAAATAATTGTATTTTCTTTTATCGCATTCTCTTTAGAAGACGAAATAATTGTATTATCTTTTATCGCATTCTCTTTAGAAGACGAAATAATTGTATTTTCTTTTATTGTCTTCTCTTTAGAAGACGAAATAATTGTATTTTCTTTTATCGCATTCTCTGTAGAAGACGTAATAATTGTATTATCTTTTATCGTATTCTCTTTAGAAGACGAATTAATTGTATTATCTTTTATTGTATTCTCTTTAGAAGACGAAATAATAGTATTTTCTTTTATTGTAGTCTCCCCAGGAGACCAATTAGTTGTATTCTCTTTTATTGTATTCTCCTCAGTAGGTTTATAAAAATTATGCAATACCTATATTTGAAGCGGTTAATTTTTAATAATGTATTATCTTTTAAAATATTTTAAGAAATGCTTTACCTCAACCGATTTTATGAACTTTTGTTCTCCTAGTTTTAAGGCAATATTAGCAAAACTCCATAATAAGAAAATTAATATAAATTTAACTCCAAACTTCGTAATTTGTAAGGTGCTGAAGTTTAACAGCATTTTATTTCTAGACGTTTAATATTTTATTATGTGCAATTTGTTGATATTTAACCGACTAAAGTTTTAACAGGATGAAATTATTTATAGGATTTTTTTTTTAAGAATGAAAATCAAAATGGCCATGGCGATCCAAACATTAGTTTTTTTCTCTTCCGTACATTCGAATGCTGATAAAATTTTCGTAGTTTAATTTATTATTTTTTTTTTTTGGTATTGAGATTTTCGTACGTAGTTTACAGTGCTTTTCAAATTATTGTGATCAGCAAATTCCACACCGGAAATCAGGAATCTAGAAAAAATGCCAATCTATGATTGGTCAATAAAATTACTAGAATAATTTTTAGCAAATTATAGATTGACATTTTTTCCAGATTCCTGATTTCCGGTGTGACACATGAAATTTGTTGATCACAGTAATTTGAAAAGCACTGTAATAAGTCATTTCCATTTAGGAGTTCTTATTTTTTTTTACCGTTACGTTAATCCAGCAATCTACATGATAGCTATTATTATTCTTTACGGTTATCCATATTATGCGCATGTTATATGTCGCTTTGACATATGTGGAATGGACTAGGAAAACCCCTATCTAAAAGCAAGTTTCAGACGGTGGTTTTCCTACGTAGCCTATTCCCATACGTACGTATGTCATAACGTGATCGGCATATAGATGTTCTACGTCGATCACGAAATTTGTCAGTTACCTGTTGACACAAACCCCCCTAGCATGACCACCAAAATCAGTTAAACCCCCCTAGCATGACCACCAAAATCAGTTAAACCCCCCTAGCATGACCACCAAAATCAGTTACGTAATCGCCGTT